CCACTTACCAATCCTTCTGAGCCAGCCACTTACCAATCCTTCAGAGCAAATCCTAGTGAAGGAATATCTAAACTAGAGCTGGAAGGGACCTCAGAGGTCTTCTAGTCCATCCCCCTGCTCAAGCAGGAGAACCTATACCATTTTAGACAAGTGACTGTCCAATGTCTTCTTAAAAACCTCCAGTGATGGAGCATCCATAGTTTCTGAAGGCAAGCTGCTCCATTGGCTAATTGTTAGGAAGTTTCTCCTCAATTCCAGCTTGCTTCTCTCCTTGATTAGTTCCCATCCATTGCTTCTTGTCCTGTCCTCGGGTGCTTTGGAGAATAATTAGACCCCGTCTTCTTTGTGGCAACCCCTCAAGTACCGGAATGCTGCTATCATGTCACCCTTAGTCCTTCTTTTCCCTAGACTGGCCATATCCAACCGTTTCCTGCAACTGTTCTTCATACAGTAGCAGTCGAGTTTAAAACCATTTCTTTAGTGACCATTTAAACTTACAACAGCACTGAAATAAAATTGACTTATGATCAGTCCTCACACTTACAACCATCACAGCATCCCCCACAGTCACATGATCAAAATTCAGTCACTTATCAACCGGTAAGTATTTACGACGGTTACTGCACGCTGAGATTATTTGCAACCTTCCCACCCAGCCAGCTTCCCACAAGTAAAGTCAATGGGGAAAGTGGATTCACTTAAAAACTGCAGGATTCATTTCATAATCGCAGCGATTTGCTTAAACTGTGGCCAAAAAAAACCACAAAAAAGGTCATAAAATCAGGCAAAGCACATTTAATAGCTGTCTTGCTTAGCAATGGAAATTCTGGATCCATTCTGTGGTCGTAAGTCAAGGACTATCCTTGCATTCATATCTACACTCTATAATGTAATAAATATTGATGGTTTTTTCCCTCAGCTGCCACGTATATTTAATTTGTACTTGAGAGACCGCCTGCTGCCAATTACCTCCCACAGACCCATTAGATCTCACAGGGTTGGNTCCTTTTAATAGCTACTTAACTATTTTGAGCAAATCTGTATCGTAAAAGCATTGTATTTTCAAGTGGAAACCAAGGACTGATTCAAATATGGTGTGTGAACTTTTACTATCACAACAAAGCTTTTCCTGCTGACTACATAATGTATACCACAATTATTCTAAAGTTCTAGCTTCTTCCCTGCTAGTTATGCACAAACTGTCATTTTTTAAAGTAAACTTTTTAACCTGTAAGCTGCTTTGGCACCCGAGTGGAATAATTGGTAATTTATTGTATTCATAATTGCATTCTTGATTGTGGGAGTTACTTTAAAATCTAGAGTTTACCAGAGCAGGAATGCCAGTTAGCAATAGCAGTAGCGCTTAGATTTATATACTACTTCACAGTGCTTTATATCCCTAAGTGGTTTACAAAGTCAGCATGTTGCCCCCAACAATCTGGGTCTTCATTTTGACCCAGATTGTTGACACAGATTGCCCCCAACAATCTGGGTTAACAATCTGGGACTTCAGAAGGATGGAAAGCAGAGTCAATTTTGAGCCAGTGAGATTTGAACTACTGAACTGCTGGCAGTTGGCAGTCAGCAGAATTATCCTGCAATACTGCATTCTAACCATTGCACTACCACGGCTCTTAGATCAACAAGCAATTGCAACTTAGCAGTAAGCCTGAGTGGTCCAAGCACTGAAGATCCATTAAATTCAGAGAACATTTTGGGGAAAAACCCACCAGATTAAAGTACACTTGGTATTGCATTCTGACTTCATTCTAATACAAAAGACAGTTATCAAATTGTGATGTCAAGTGTCTGTTAAGTTTAAGCTTTGTGAAGTTTATCTTAATGGTGTTTTAAATATATGTGTGGGTTTAATTTATTGTTAACCTTTTTGGACACTGATTTTGATGGAAATGGGAGATGGAATCATTTAATATTTAATGTTCTTTGGTAAAACTGTGTTCATTATTAACTAATCAACTTACCCAATGGTGCTTTTGCTAACAAATTAACACTTAATTGGCCATGTTTGGCCTTGAAAAACTAAGCCAGATTTAATTGGTACTTCAATGGGAAACACCAATAAATAACAGGCTGTAGACTAGAAAGAAAGGCAGACTATTTCTGTATTACTATTAATAAATTGACATGTGTTGTTCATGAAAAGGTCAGAAATCCAACTTGACTCAAATGAGACCACATTTTCACATAATGGAAACTAGGGAAAGAAAATTGTATTTTTGTTCAGTAATTGCACGATCTTAATTATTAGCATTTTCAACTTATACTAACCCTTCTAGTACATTGTAATATTCTACTGTTTAATTTTTAGAATTACTTAAAGAAGGTTCCAGATCAAGGGTAGGAACTTGAAAAAAGTTATCTGTAGGAAAAAATGACTGGATGCATTGCATTTAGTTTAATTTTGTTGCAAGAGTTTAAAAACATATATGATGTACTGCTGTGCATTTCCTACAAATAACAGGATTTGAACAAGAACTGATGAACTATACCAGGTTCTATTAAGTATGAGAATTAATTTTGTACTAGAAATAGAGATGAGTAAATAGATAAACGGCCTATGTTTTAAAAAAAGCAACTTTTCTATTTTAATGTTAAGATTCCCTCCAACTGTTTATTTTATATTTCTATTTCATAAGAGTCTCTTTTATTGCTAAGTATGTTTCCCAGTGTTAGACTTTGCCATATCTCATGAAGCAAAGATCCAGCCAATGAGTTCTGTGTGCTTACAGTGTTATATAAGTAAACATTTTCGCCCAAATGTAGCTAATTTTCTTTCGATTCTGTTGGGCATCAGAATAAGATATTACTATGATTTTTTTTCTGTACAGAAATGAACCAAGTGTGCAAAAACCTTCATAGTGCCCTTCAACATAAAAAACATCTCATAATAGGATAAAAAAATGTTCATGAAATTATTGTAATTTTTCATCTGAAGCTATAGAAAATTCACAGGGTATTAGTAATCAGCTGATAGAAGATTGGGGTACTGAACAAACTGTAGTGGGATTTTTTTTAATGGCCAAATAATCTTTCATGATAAAACACTGTTTTTCCCATTTCATTGCTATTATCTTGGAGCTAAAATTGTATTAGCTATTTGATGATATTAGCTGAAAAGCAGGCCTTAAGAATAGCCATGCATAGAGATGAAAGAAGACAATAACACTTGTCAGATGGTCAGCTCTATAAATTAGGCAGATAAATAAATAATGAAACTTGTTGGAAATATTCAGGAAGCATCACCTAGGCAAAAAGAGGTGAAATGTTTTTAAGTTTAGATAACAAGATAACATTCAGAAGCAGCTCAGGCAGATACCTCTCTATGTTGTTGATGTATAAAAATGCTGATGTCGATCTCACCCTATTCCTAAGAGGTCTGTAAGGGGTGTGCATAAGGAACAGCATAATGAGACTTGCAAGTTTATAGCCAACCTCAATAAAAGTAGTTTTAGTCTTCCTGGGGAGTTGATTTCCTGGTCAGGTATACCAAATGGGGATGACACCTGATTCTAATGTACTTCATTTCTGAAAGAAAGATATAGATATATCTTAGGTATTGTGACTAGTGACAATATATGTTTGTCTTTTCAGATCCCCAGCTCAAGGGCATAGTGACCAGGTTATATTGCAGGCAAGGCTACTACTTGCAAATGCACCCAGATGGAAGTCTCGATGGAACCAAGGATGACAGCACTAATTCTAGTAAGTGCTCTATGAAACTATTCATTACCTTTACACACACAAAATGTAGAGAGAACCATTCCAAAATGAATATCCATCATTTGTATCAGTGGTGGGATCCTCCCAGTTTAACAACTGCTTCAGTGATTGCGCGATGTGCACGTGCATGCTTCATGCATTCTTGCGCCTGATGTGTGCTGTACGCACAGTTTGAAGAAATCTTCACTTCCGGGTTTCTTCGGAGGAGTAACCCAGTTGATTCGCGTGGCAATCTGTTCCGCCGCACGAATCAGCTGAGAAAATAAAGGTAGGAAAATAGCACAGGTGGGCCCATCTGATTATCGGGATGAACCAGTTTGCTCCCAGTTGATCGTCGGAGCTACCAGTTCACCCGAACCAATAGAATCCCACCCCTGATTAATATGCCTTCAAATGGGTCCTGATTTTTTGTGGTTCCTGATATGTCATTTTTAAAATCATGTCTCTGTTTCATGTCTGCTGATGTCCTCAGAAAATGAAGAGCCCTCCTACCTCACTGCAATCCTTTAGTAAGGCTAGTGCAAGGCTGTCAAACTCGTGGCCCATGGGCTGGATGCGTCACTGGCAAAGGGGAAAAAAGTCCCGATATATCACATGACGATGGACAGCTCTATTCCTATCTCCCCAAAACTGGAGAAATCCTGTAAAAAAACACTCCAGAAAACATTCCCTCAGTTTGAATTCTTTAAATACTGCTTTCTTAATCAGCAGTCTTTACTAAAATCTAATTAAGGGAGATTTTGTTACAGTGGTATGAAATCACTGAAAGAAAAATTACTACCTAAAATTACTACCATGGATAGAATGATCACATTACACTATCAACATTTCAGAAGAACAGAATTGGAAGGAGATCTTGGAGATCTTCTAGTCAACTCCCTACTCAAGCAGGAAACCCTATACAATTTCAGACAACTATTTTGATTCCATGTCTATAAAGTACATTTTCTCCTTATTTCTAAGGTTTGTTTTAGGTCCCCTTTCTCAGCTTTTTCTCATGCTTAATATATTTGTGAATATAGTATTTCTGAATATTAGGATTGATATCCACATTTAAATGTAGCACTTTTGGCATAGATACATTTATTTATTTATGGGTTTATGTACCCACTCAACTTGTAAAAATGCAACTCTGAGTGACATACAGTAATAAAAACAATACAATATTCTCAGCAATGAAGCAACACAGAATCATCAAAGACAAGGAATGCAAAGTCAGGGTACATCACTATATCCTCCATCTCTCAATTTATCTAACATCTTGGCCCAAAGCCCAAGGGAACAGCCAGGCCTTCAAAGGCTATCAGGGTCAGGATCAAATTTTTAAGGGGAGGTATTTCCACAGGACAGGAGTCACAAAAAAAAGGTACCTCTTTTCCTAAATCTCTCCTGATGGCATTAACTCAAGAAGAGCAGGATGCCTACTCTGCTGGAGCATATAGAATGGCAGAAAGATCTAGAGACAGATAGACTTGTTTGTGAGCCATGGAGGGCTTTATAGGTAACAACTGACAACTTGAATTGGATTTGAATTGGATTTGGAGGTCTACTGTGAGCCACTAAGTAGAGGTATCAGATGGCTTGCCATGATGGAGAAATTATTTTGTTTATGTGATGAATGGCTGTATCACATTGTGTGTTTGCTGCATTATTTCCATACATGAAGCTAGAAGTAATTGAACCAGAATATGACCAGAATACAAATGTATTTAAAGATAACTTAAAGCTTTCTGCACTAGTCTAAGTATACTTAGTCTAAGAGTACTGAACTTTGTTGTTTTATTGTTCTCTTATAATATATTAGCTGATAACCCGGGGTTGCCCGGGTATTTATTTATAGGGGGAAAATGTCTGGACCAAACATAATTTCTAATATTGGATTTTTCCCCTTACCAGAGGGAGCCCCCTTATGGAGTAGTGTGAAACCGTTACCATGGCAACTCCACTGCACTGTACAGTAGAAGCCATTTTATGACAGTACAATAGAAGCCATTTTAAGGCACAAAGGGCTGTATCATAACAGAACACACACCCCGAGGGTTGTTAGGGGTGTTTTACCCCCACAGTATTTTTTTCCAGAGCGTAATCTGTTTACCAAGTTTGGTTGAAATTGCTTGAGGCGTTCCAGAGTTATGCTGGAACACACACGCGCGCGCACGCAGAGAGAGAGAGAGAGAGAGAGAGAGAGAGAGAGAGAGAGAGAGAGTGAGAGAGAGAGTGTTTATATGGATTCAGAGTCAAAATTTGAGCTGGGTTTGCACAATAAGTTGATGTACTGTAAATGGCTATGGTGTAGTTCAGTGAATGTGTGAACCTCATGACCATGGAGTAAGCCATGGCTTAGTGCAGTGATGGCTAAACTTTTTGTCCTCCCATGCTAAAAGCATGTGTGCGCAACACACACACATCGTGCTCCTCTCCACATGCACGCATGACTCCCTGTGCCTAGCAGGCCTCCCTGAAGCCTCCTGGGACCAAAAACAGGTGTGGGGGGGTGCGCACTACCCCCTCTGCCCAACCCTTGCCCCCATACATGCATGCGTGCCCCTACATCTCCCACATGCGCCCCACTCACCACGCATGTGCAGTAGAGAGCGAAAATCAATTGGTTGGCAGGAGGTACATGTGCATGCACGATGCAGCTGAGCTGGGGCGATGGCTCACGTGCCTCCAGAGAGGGCTCCACGTACCACCTGTGGCAAGCATGCTACCGGTTCACCATCACAGGGGAAGGATGGTGGTCTTCATATTAAGTTCAGAAGAGTGGCCTCCAGTTGGTGTTGCAGGTTTTATGAACACTGCTCCCATTACTGTAAATGGAATTTCAGTTTTTATCTATTTTATCTCTCATGATAAATCGTGTATATAAAATGCTATAAGCTATGCTTATTATGTCAGCAATATTATTCCATTCATGTCTTTGCTTCCCTGTCTTTGCTTCCCTGTGATGGATCTTCTCTATTTTTACAGCATTGTTCAACCTCATACCAGTGGGACTTCGAGTTGTTGCTATCCAGGGTGTAAAAACAGGCTTGTATATAGCCCTAAATGGAGAAGGATTCCTTTATACATCAGTAAGTAGTGAATCATAGTTGTTATTTATAAAGTAAATCCAATTCGGTCATAGAAAATTGTCTTGGGATTCTTACAGGAAAGACAAAATAATTTCAAATGATGCATTTTTTATTTTAAAAGTTTGATATTTTATTATTCTGCTTTATTATTTTAATCAGGTAAAAATGGAAGGTCATGACTACGATAAGAAAATCTGTTTTTATACAGAGGAGGCAAATTAGGGCAAACTAAACTATATTGGAATAACATTGTTTTCAGCGGAAGAGATACAGTATATTCACATGATTATTTCTTCTACTGAAATCAATAGGAGTCTAATCTATCTCAGTACATAGGATGATTTCAATATTTTCAGCGGAATAAATGATTAATAATTGCATAGTTTTCAGTTTGGAAATATGGTGAAAGAGTAATTTTTAAATGCAAAACACGCAGACTATTTAATGTGATTTATTACTTTGGTATGCCTATTAGATGTATATTGTATGCTATATCTTCTCCTCTTTGAAACAAAATATGAGGTTTTATTTATTTTATTGACTAGTAACTGTATACCCCACCTTTCTGTTTATATAAACATTCAAGACTACTTACAATAATTTCAAAAGAAGTATATGATTAGTAGAATTGAGATCATTCAAATCAGTATCATTCAAATCAATTAACAGTTTGAAGTTCATAGGCCATAAATATGTTTTTTTTTAATCCTGGGAGAGTGGGGAATGACTTCCATAACTAAGAAGCAATAGAAGAGAGGGTTTTCTTCCATATATTATTAGATAGATAAGGATGGGGCCATTTTGTTCTGAGGTCATCGTTGAAGTGCAAGACTTACAGTCTTTTAAAAGTCAACACCAGTACCTTAAATTAAACAGCAAATAACTGGTGATAGAGATCTTTCATTGTATCATATTCTCTGTTCCTCACATCATTTGGCAGCTTTACCATTGTAGTTGCCATGTTAGAGCATTTTTAGGATAATCCTGATATCAAAATATTGTAATCAAGGCATGGATAATTAACATTAAATCTGATTGGCTCAGAAAGGTCACAGTTGGCACATTAGCCATACGTATGCAAATACACTCATCATTACTAGCAAATCTGATAACAGCTGAAGACCAAGGGGCACTCCTAAACTGCAAATCTGCTCTTTCCAGGGATGTGCAAGCCAATGCCAGGTATATTTCACCTCAACCTCCAAGTCTAGTTTTCTCTTACCTCTTCTTATTGGCATTTAATTTGAGTTTATTTTCATCCATCCCCATTATCAAAATTAATCAGTATGCAGAAGTACTAATTGCTGCTTTAGGGTCTGATGACAGAGAAGAGTAGAGCTAATCTCATCAGTCTTCTATTTGTAACCTACTCTAAAGTTCTTAGTAGTTTCGTGTAGCAGTAGACAGGGCAAGACAGATCTCTGAAGCAATCAAGTTGTTGAATAGGGTTCCTCCAGCACACTTTCTGGGTATGTCTTGACAAAAATGATCAGAACCATTGCAAAACAATGCCTCCAAGACACAAACTTCACAGAGAGGTTTAGGAAAACTAATAGGGTTGCACCTTCAGCCCCAATTTCCTATCTAGATCAGATTGAGATGACCAAAGCAGGCTTCATATTACAAATATTTAACCTGATATCTGTGGACACCCCTGACAATGCTGAAATCAAAGGCAAACTTGTTTAACAAGGGATATAGCATTGTGGTATTGGATTTCCACTAATGCTATGGAACTCTCTCCTTGTCTTCTTTGGCCAGGTTCTCTTATAGGCTGCCCAAATGCCAGAGAGAAAGCAGGAGAAAGACATTTCTATTCATCTTTTTCCATTGGGTCAGCAGAAATCAATGATACTGACTAGATTCTATCTTTAATTTCTGTTTAGTTATGCAGATAACAGTTCCACCTTGGTACTCAACTGCTTTGAAATTTATCAAATTTGATACTCAACTCATTTTGATGTGAAAATGTTGTCCCGGTACTTGTCATTTGTTTGATACTCGTTGTGCAAGCCAGAACTTGTTAATGTCAGCTGTCTCATGATTTTCCAGCCTAAACAAAGGCTCCTGCATTAGTCAGTTGGTTTGTTTGGTCCTCATTTTTTGTTCTTGTTGTGTCTCCCGGAACCAATTAATGATGAATACTGAGGTACAAGTGTATGTACATCTCTACCAATGAACTGTAGCTATTTAATTTTGAGATGAGGTTGCCTGTGGCCAATTATGAACATGGCAACGTATAATTGTTAATCTAATTAAAGTTGTATGCTCATGGGACTTTTCTGTTTAAGGGTTCCTACACTATGCACACTGTAGATGCTTGTATATGATACGTATATGATATATGATTATATCTCCTCTGTTTAAAGATATAGACACAAACACCAGTTTTCAGTACTGCCTGCCATTTCCTAGCACATAATATATACTTTAAAGAATATAAGCTATTAGAAGAGATATTTAATAGTGCCTTATGTTTTCTACATGTCCTGCCTAAAAATATACAATGAGTTGCTACTGTAATAATTTTTTTTTATTTAAAGGAATGTTAAAAATAGTATGAAGCTCCTGTTAGCCTTCATATTCATTTGTTTGGCATAGATGAGGATGTTCCCAAAGTTAATTAGAAGGAAATGTTCTAATCACTTAATTCTCACCAGGGCAAAAATTAATCTTGTACAGCATCTCTGTATTATATGCAGAAGCTTGATATATGTGGTGTCTATATTTTTTGTGCAACACTATGTATGGCACAAAGGAAATGAAACATAAAATATATATTATCTCAGTTGAAGGCATGAAATGTTAACTCACCATTGGCGTCTTTGTTTCTTTCAATAGTATTTGCAGGTCTACATGTTGCATGTATGTTTGTATTCACCATATTTTTGAAGTATAAGACACACTTTCACCCCCTAAAAGAGGGTGAAAATTTGGGTGTGTCATACATCGAATGTAGCCCCACCCACTCCCACCAGAGGCCAAAAACGTGAGGCATGGAGGCAGTGATGGACTGTGGCAATCCCTGCAGCCTGGAACAGCTGATTGGGGGTATTCCGGCAGTTCATCCACCTGCCAATCAGCTGTGCTGAATTAGGCTGCAATAAGTACTGAAGTTGAACTGGCTGGTCAGAGTTTGCAGCAGCACTCACATTCAGAAAGCACACAGAAGTAAGCAGGATTCAAAATAATAATAATATACAATACAATACCAAAAACAGGTTTTCCAAGGTAGCAGT